CATTGTGGTATCAGAGCCAGGTTATAGGCTCAACTTCAGTGTTCAAACTCACACAGCAAGATGACAACCAACAGCTCTGCAGTAAGCATTACACAACCACAAATTCCAGTATTCAAAGGGGACTCGTATGAATACCGGAGCGTCAAAATGAAAACTCTATTCAGATCGCAAGACTTGTGGGATCTTGTGGAACAAGGAATCAGCGAGGCAAGTCAAGACGATGCAGGAAGAAAGGAGACCCAGAAGAAAGATGCAAAAGCCCTATTTTTCATCCAACAAGCCATAGACGAAATCATTTTCTCGAGAATTGCAGCAGCAACCTCAGCAAATGAGGCATGGAACACTCTCAAAACAGAATACCAGGGATCGGCCACGGTGATCACGGTGAAGTTGCAATCCCTCCGACGAGATTTCGAAACAGCTACCATGAAGAATCAAGAAACAATACAAGAGTACCTTGCAAGAATTTCATCCACTGTATGCCAAATAAGAGCATATGGAGACAAGATTACTGATGAAACAGTCGTGGGAAAAATATTGAGGCGCCTCCCTTCTAAATTTGACCACGTAGTTGCTGCCATTGAAGAGTCTAAGGACCTTTCTACCTACACTGTTGACGAACTTATGGGATCATTACAAACCCATGAGGTCAGAATCAATAGGAGTACCACAAGAGAGGAAGATCAAGCGTTCACCATTCAAGAAGACAACTTGAGGTTCTCACCCAACAAAGGCAGAGGTAGGGGCTCTTCAAGAGGAAGGGGCCATGGCAGAATGAGCCCCTCACAGTGCACACACTTCAACAAATATGGACACACAATCGACGTATGTTGGAGCAAACAAAAAGAGGCACAGTATGCTGAAGGAGAAGAGGAAGATTACTTGTTTATGGCTACTGAAAATTCACATGATACACCAAAAGATATTTGGTATCTCGACAGCGCCTGCTCGATGCATTTAACAGGCGTTAGGTCAAAGCTCAGACATTTTGATGCAATACACAAATCCCGAGTTAAACTTGGTGACAACTGGTATGTTCAGGTTGAAGGGAAAGGGAGGTAGCCATTGACATCAATGGAAGGGAAAAGTTAATTAGAGACGTCCATTATGCCCCTGGTTTGGCTCACAACTTAATAAGTGTGGGTTAACTTCTAGATTCGGGTCTTGATGTTCTCTTAAAAAAGGACAGGTGCACTGTACAGAGGCAAGATGGAGAAGTAATCTTAGAAGCCAAAATGACTCCGAATAGAATGTTCCCGGTGAAGTTTACCAGTAATGAGCCATATGGACTCATGAGCAGTAG